GTTGTGCTCGGGTTTCCCGGAGATTTTTCATGGAAATTTAGGGTAATGGAGGGTGCCGCCAGGTTTTGGACATTCTTTTGAACCTAAATTACAGTGCTAAATTTGAAAATATGATTTCAATATCACCATTAAATTCTTAATTTTTTTTTTTTTTAATTATCATTGCAATATTCATTCAGTAAAAGCAGTTTCAAATTCGGGGCTATAATTTGTGAAAAAAAATCAAAAAAATTATCTTTTATCAATTAATAGTGTTGGTTGACTTACTAGACAGTTTTATTATAAAAAATTCGCAAATTTTGATATGGCTGAAAAATTTTAGAAAAAAAGGCGACATTAATTTTTTTTTATAATTTGGACGGGAAATTCAATTTTAAACGCCTCTTCCAATTTTCTCTACTTGCTGCTTTTCTAATGTAGTTTTTTATTGATAGTCACCTAACATATGTCAAAGTATATCTTGAGGTAGGTACTAGAACATGGAAAAAACGACCCCCAACAACAGTTTTCTTGACACAAAATTCAAAATTTGTACCAAATTCTTAACATTTGAATTTATGTATCGCTAGGCAAACCAAAAAGGACACAATACTCGCCTTTCAGGTTTCATTTCGCTAGACTCTCAGAACATAAAATAGCAATTCTGGAGATTTCTCCTATCGAATGGTGCAAGCCTTTTTCTAAAATTATTGGTAAAATCGTTTTCAAATGGCGTCTTGACAAGCGTCCCTGCTTACTGAAGTCGATCCTCCTTTTCCATTTTTGATGTCGATTAAAATCCTTCCTTTGTTTGTTGTATCAACTAACATGTCAATCTATAAGTTCTCAACTTACTATCTTCTTGATGACTTATTTGCTTAAATCACTAGATAACAAACTATTACTAATTTAAAACAGAAAATAATAATACTGGGTTATTTCAGGTCATTTACCTACAGATTGGTTTATGTTGCTAAACTTACTAATTATATTTCTAGAATTTGTCTAAACGTTTGAAATAAACACATACCTACCTAGTAATGTATACCATTATTTAATAAGATCGAGATTTGTGAAAAACAAACTATTCACGAAAATGGAAATGTTCTTTTTTTTTCGGGTTTGAATCCATCAAATGCAATATAGGTAGGTAAATACCCAATGATTCACCGTCAAAAGACGGCGCCGCACCTTTGTCAAAACGTCATCGTCACATCGTCTGGATTACGTCATGAATAGTACGCAACGTAAGTTCTTTGTAACGGGCGACATGCAAGTGTCAATGCACCGCGATAGCGTTGGGTTTTGAAAGGCCATTGGACCCAATGGATCGGATAATTGATCGAACGTTATAGAAAGAAAACAAAAATTGACTAACGATACAATCACGTTTAGGTCATGTGGAAATACGGACCATTTTTTTGATTTTTTTTAAGTAGACATACAAATACCACACATAGAACTTTCGATGAACTCTTAGATAACCAGTTCCCAACATGCACAGTAAACTGTGTCAAATCCAAACAAAAGAAGCGTTCCGCAAACAAAATGCGATAAAGTCTTTTCTTATCACCGTTGTCTTATCTGAAAATGTTGTTGGGGATCCGAAAGGGTGGCAACCGCAAACGTTGAGCTGGTCAGTGCACCCGTAGTGCACCGTTGTGAATGCATGGCACCCACGATTCTAAGGTCACTCAAGTGCACTGACCCACACAGCGATGCACGCATCTTCTAGAAGCTTCACTTTTACAACTTGCATAATTATGTTATTGGGTGGAATGTGAATGCCCAGTATAATAATAACAAAAATATGTATATTGAAAGTAAAAATTTAGATGACAGTTTGTATTGTGAAATAAAAATATCATTTTATACCTATATTCCAGAAAAAGTGTTGAATCAGTTCAGCTACCATATTTTTATAATTGTATTATAGAACTCATTATCAGTTCACAATTTAATTATACTCAGAAACTTATCACATTTATTATGCCAATACTTGATAATTATCGTGCCAGTTGTTATCAGAGGTTGAAGAACCTAGAGAATAAAAATTAGATCATCATTAGAATAAAACAAACAAATAGTTTTTTTGGCAAATTTCTATCTAGAACTTCTGAAAGAAATTATTATATTTATTTTTGCGAAGTGTGAATGGATTAGGTAAAGTACGACGAGGCGGTTGTTTGCTTATAACGATATTCTAATTTTTAGAAACTAGTTTTGGAGAATTCACTTGTAAATAATATCATATTCATTGACACGAATGAGGATGACACCATTTCTAAAATAATATGAAATTCTTTAATTGACTGAATCAAACCAACTTTTGATGAAAAACAAATCAATTATTATTTTCGATACGATTTAAATTAGAAATAAAACCAATGAACAAATTAATTTTTGTGTTTTATACCTAGATTCTAACAATAGCTATGTTTTTAATTTAAAAAAAAAAAAACGTCAACAATATTCATAAACGTATGGATTCTATGACAATTAAGCTGTTAATTGAGTATTAAAGTGAACCACAATTACTTCAAAAAAGTTGTATCAAAAATCATGTCCTACATTAATTATTGGTGATTTTCAAGATTAACATTTGATTTCTTGTCAAGACAAATTTTTCCGGAGATAGTTTGGTAATGGTAATATAACAATTTTATTCTCTACACAAACAACTTAAATTTGGGATACACTTCACATACTTGATATTGTATGCTTAACTTTGGCCATTCATAAAAATCGAAGTGATTCTTCGCCATTCACGAGCCGTAGGTAGGTACTATTTAAAATTACATATTCCAAGAAAATAAAGGATCCAATCCGTATATTCGATTTGGTTTTGCAATGTACCAATCGAAGTACCAATGCTTCATAAAGTTGGATTTAAATTATAACTTTTTTTCGGTTATTCATATTATTTAGAAGATTTAAGTCATTGATGATGGGACAGTGAGTGATAAAGGTGTACAGAGAAGCGGATAGTGTCCTCAATATAGATCTCTCACCCTTGAGAAATTGTTAAATAATATAAGGGATGTATTTCGACATTACATATTCGGGAACGGGAGAAACATAATTGTTTTGATGATAAAAACTTTGAGATACTTGCGTGTGAAAAATTATGCGTATTAAAGACGTAGATATATCGTGAGGTCAATAAACCATAATAAAAGAATTAGTCACAAAAACAACTTATGAATCCCTAGGTCCGAAAAGCAACGGTACGCGGCCGGTACCATTTCCGCGAGGTCTTCGATCTCTTTCACCTATGGCCGTTTAAAAATAGAACAGAGTACCTCGTATATACAATAACCAAGAGTGCGTTAACACCGGTTCTTAGGCGAAGAGTTCAGTTGCGAAGAAATCGCTCTCTCGACGATGACGTAACAGTGCCTGAGTAACAGTTGGCGGCTAAATGTGACGTCACTGGGCCGGCGAACCATCATCCGAGAAACCCATATTTGGACGCTGAAAGTTCTTTGACCGGTCAATTTTGAATTCGCCCGCGCCAGAGCCACACAACGCGGGTTCACTGCCCCTTGGGCGATCGGGCCGCCGTCCTAAATCATATTATTATTGTGTTAGTTGATGTTAATTTGCAAAAATGAGCTCAAACTAGGGCGAAGCGCGCGCTCAATTTTGAGATAACGCCTATAACCCAATTCGCGTTCGTCGCCCCGGTTTTCGGATAGTATTATTGTTCTGACCTCGTTATTTACCGAAATTCAATAAACAAATTATGCGTCGCTTTGATTGGGCAAGATACAACGACGACCCAACGTTTATTAAACACATACACACCCGGGTATATTTAGCAACCTTCACGATTCTATTTTAAAATGGAAAAAAAATGAGTTGCTCAATCGCTGTGCCCGAATTGGAAAGCGATTGGTTGATCGTTCACCCCATTGAATTTTCGAGGCTAACATCATCGTGAACTGATTCATGATATAACTATCACATAATGAAATTAAATTTAATTCTAGTTACTATTTTGGGATTGATAAATACAACCATAGAGGCAGGGTGATCTGGAATACATATTTTGGCTTTGAAGTAGGGAAACACGGTCAGAGGGATTTTTCGACACAACCCATAGTCTTTGTTTAATGTAAGAGAATACTACTAGGACTATTTTTTACCAACAAATTAGGATCATTTAATTCAATGATGAATGTTGCTACTTATGACAATAGTAATTTATAGGTTTTCGACCCCAAACGCTACGTAAATATTTAATGACATCACTCTAACATAATGAACTGTGATTCTGATTAACAATTAAAAACAATTTTGTTTTCTGTGAACTGGGCAGCAATAGACCGCAATGCAATAATTCAATCTAATAACCGCAATATTGTGTATAATTTAATGTAAATATCGATTTACTTACGATTTTTATTTTCTTGCAATTATTATTATGATTTGATTGAGCCAGTTTCGTCCCAGCCGAGCGAGTTCATCGACCTCGCAATGTTTTTATCTCCTTCTCTTTTGGCCAGCTATTTCCAATTCACTTAAGTGATATTTTGACCGTTAATGCATACATGCGCCACTTACCTTAATATTAAAAGAAAAATAATTCGCAAAAATGTAACAAATTCGAATTCTCTCGAAAAAAAAAAAAAAATTGGGCGGTTGAGGCAACAACCATACAACCAAGGCAGCTCACTCGGAGTGACGAAACTAGTTCCGTCCTTGTTTGATTGACTTTGTTTGCTGTTGGAGCGAGTGAGACCGTAGACTCTCACTTTCACGCAGCGAACTGGCCTCGCGAGCTTACTTTGGCGGGTTAACAACCGAGAACTAGGTCATCTGGTTAACAGCCCGCTTAAACTCCATGGCCTGGCGTCAGTGCTACGTCGAATTCGAAAACGATCAGACGTGCGAGCTGCCCGAAGAGTTTAATTTTTTGTTTATTTAAATCTATATAGAATGTTATTTATCAATTAAATAATAATAAATAAAGCGACAAAGTGTTCGAAACAAGTGACAATAATAAATATAATTCAACAATGATGGCAGTGTTACCGTGTAACGAGTCCTTAGTGGCGCATCAAGGGGCTAACCTTAACTATAATAAAAATTGTGCTGTCGAAGATAGCAGTTCGGGTTGTGAATCTTCCGACGAATGCTCAAATAAAGATTGTCCGCAGGGCTTCTTCAGGCGCAGCATCCAGCAAAAGATCCAATACCGGCCCTGCACCAAAAACCAACAGTGTTCTATCCAGAGAATCAACAGGAACCGATGCCAATATTGTAGATTAAAGAAATGCATTGCTGTTGGAATGAGCAGAGATGGTAAGTTTATTATAGTTTATTTTTATTTGAAAGGGGCAGCTATATGAAAATATTCTTTAAATTTTCTTTTAGATTTTGAATTTCTATTAACTTTCGATAATCGTTGATAAAATGACATCAGCACTTTTATTTAGACGAAGAATAATATATAGGTCGTTGCGCCTGGCAGGTGAATGACCACGTTCAATTATTTGGGCAATTGCAAATATTTCACATCTTGCACATTATCATCAAATTTTGGGTTACGGGATTTCGGGAAAAATTGAATTTCTAGAAAAAAAAAATAAATTTTATTTCGCAATTTAATTTCCATTGATCTAAAAACCGCTAGTTTGTCATTAACAAACGCCAGATAGGTGAAGAATAATATAGGTCGCTGTGTCCGGGAGGTGAATGACCGCGCTCAACAACTAAACACATTATTCTTGGACAAATGCAAAAAATTTGACCCAAAAATAAAAATCTTCAAAACTTTGGGCTTTATTTATTCCGTGATGAAATCCGTATCGCTTTTGTCTACTAAATTTCAATAGATCTGCAAAAAATCAAAAGCAGATACCGAAGTGAAGAATATAGGTCGCCGGGTCCGGGAGGTGAATGACCGCGATCAGATCAGATTGGCTCACATTAGGTCAAATGCAAATTTGAAAAAATCATCATGTTAAAAGAGTCAAAATTTCCAACAATATCGAATAATAATTGTTTTGCCCAGATGAACAAGACGAAATAGGCGAGAAATATAGGTCGCCGGGTCCGGGAGGTGAATGACCGCGCTCGGTTCAGCTCGCGTTCGGGCGAATGGGATCGCTCTATGTTCCCATGTCTGTGTGTGGACTGTGTGTGCCGATGCCGAGAAAGTCCGAAAGGTAAATGAACTCTCTTGCACAACGATCTGCATTGCAAGTCGGTTGAGGTCGACAACTTCTGTGCGTGAATACTATAACCCGAGTACGTTGTGCCACTTATCGCACTTTCGTATGTCACCACCGTGCCGAAGATTGTTGTATATTTTAATGCATATACGTGAGCGCCGATTACGTAAACGCCTCCGATTTCAGAAATCTCCCGAGATCTTGCCTGATCTGGCATTAATTAGACATTTTATTTTTGCCCTCGTTCGACTTTTACTTACCAATTGATTTTATTAATAATAATTTACTGGTTCTTTATACAATGAAGCAACGATGGATAAAAAGGAAAACAACTAACAACATATTTCCTTTAAGTGGTATTTACAATACATTTAAAAATATAGGGATGCTATAATGGGGATTTTCATCTCTTCCTGTAGGGTATTTTGTGATGTTAAGGGGCATTCTGTTTTTGTGTGGAACTTATTTTCCGTTTTTATTTTATTTTTTTAAAGGTAGTTTTTTAAATATGCATTTTACTCTGACACTTTTTAAGATTAAGCTATAATTTTTGCTTGTGTTGCTAACCTCTGCCCTGCCACATATAATAATAATAATAATAATAATAATAATAATAATAATAATAATAATAATAATAATAATAATAATAATAACCTCGTCACACTATATTCCATTGGGGAATTGGAGATTCTTTTTAAAAATAATCTTCTCGAAGGTATCCATAACTAACCTATACTACTTTGAACTTTCAAATAAAAAATATTAGGTAGTGATTGGTTAAATATAAAGTGGAATAAGTTGTGTTTCCAAAATAATTTTCACCAATTGGAAATCGATGTCAAATAATGTATAGACAAAAAATACCCTTGCATCATCAAAAACACTTCCTCCATACAAAATCTGCAATTTTCTCCTAATTAATCTAATTATTGTCTCAAAAACTATCTAAAATCTCGTTCGTGAAATTAACAGTCGAAATGCAACAATAAAGAAAAGTACCTATGCCTAATTCCGAGAAAGTTTATAATTTCACGTTGACCGAAAATGAAAGTTTCGCTTGCGAACTCGCCCCCTCTTCAGACCGTGCACACAGGTTCATTGCCTTTTGCATTGGCGAAAGTTTTTGTTTATTTCGTAATCCAATCCAATTTTATATTTTGCTCCTCGGAGAGAGAAATTTTTAATTCTCGATTCGTTGAACTTTTGCCATTCACCCACTTTGGGTACAACAAATTTCACCTTTTTGTTGCAACACAATAATTAGCTTTTTCCCACCTATAAAATTCTCTAAGAAAGCTTCATGTATCAACCAATAATTGAATAGTTTATTATGAAAGCATTCCAAATTTAAATTGTCATCTAATTTTTATTTTTTTATAAATTTACATTTAAAATTAATTCGTTAGATTCGAAATGATTCATAAAATTTGACAACGCTGGATGCTCCAATTTAAATAGCGGTGTAGGTGGCGGCGCTAAACGCCAAACACCTGAACTAGCTCACTCGATCGCGTGTATTCTATCGGTTTGGATCAACGCGCGTTTCTCGGAGGTGAACAACCTTGATGATGTCCCGTGTCACTCACTATGATGTATACTAATCTCAATCCCAAAATTGATGTAATGTTTTTCCATAAAAATATCAACAAACGTTACAATTTTACCTATCAATAAACGATATTGATTTTTTTGAAAAATCTATATAGATGGTATTTTTTAATTATTTCTTAATTGGTTTTGTTCATTTCAAGCTAATTATAAATTATTTTTGTTACATTCACATCCCATTATCAATAATTTCAATGTCATAGACAATCATACTTATTATTTTCTGTCTTTATGGTGTTATCATAAACCACTCAGCAGTTTCCTTTGTTTAAAATTTTATCGTGTACGAAACATTAAAAATAAATTTGTTATTCATTTTTGTACCAGTCAATGGCACGAAATCAGTTATGATAGTGGTATTTGTCTATTTTCGAACTGTCACATCTTACAGAAGCGGATTAAGGTTGGTGTTAAAACTTCTAGAAAAACTTCTTAGGCCATTATTAAGCAATTTAGTTTTTCACATAATATTTTTGTGTTTTTGAAAAAAAAATTCAAATCTCTCGGAGTCTAATGGGTAATCCGCCTCTGATATACTTCATTTTTCCCCTGAAATGTATTCTAAGAAAATATGTTTATTTTAGGATAAGAAAATATTTATTCAACGAAAGATTAGGCAACCAAATTAATATGTATCTAATTACATATTTCTGATTACTTTGTGATTGCGTCGTTATAGTAAAAATAAATACGGAAGAACTCACAACTCTTGTTCTTTAGATGACAACCAGATTTAGAAATTGATGCAATTTTCATCGAATTGCATTTTTCATTTTTTATATTATAGGTCTAAAACAATTTTTTTTTTACAATTTTCGATAATTTTCAAGCAAATGGAAGCATTTTGTCACTACTATACTACGTGTCTTGTCCAGGTTTGATTGATGTCAGAAAATGTGTATTTCACATCAGACACAATAGCTACATTTTGACATTCACGCCGAAATTTGACTACATTAAAAAAAAATATATTCAATTATTGTTTGGTTCATCAATTGGTCTTATATTGAACTTGCGAGATCAGAAATAATCACATGAAGCGCTTTAATGTTTTGTTATTATAATAGGCAGCTAAAGTCCGATGTAAAATTCCCTAAAAATTGAGAATTGTATGCGACGATATGACAACGTTGCGCATCAGGTTGGCGCGGAAAACAAAGGAGTGGCGTTTTGTAGGCGGCCACGGCGCGGCCTTGACGCCGTTGTCCTATCTCGGCGCGGCGGGTATCGGTCGCGAGCGTCAGCGCAACGCTTCAAGTTCAAGGGTTATAGTGGGGGGAAGGAGAAGCCACAGGGGGAAGGGGGAACGCGGTTCTGCGGGCATCGCGCTGCTTTCGCGCCACTCGTTCAACGCCGTTCATTGGGAATGCCAGGCCGCGCGCTACTTCGCTACGCTAGCAGCCCGGTCGTTGCCGCTGCCGCAACTGTTCGCGATAAGTGCAAAATGACCGAAGAGTTACCGATCCTCAAAGGAATACTCAATGGAGTTGTCAACTATCACAATGCACGTAGGTGTCTTAATTAACTGCCTTCCTGTTATCGTGTCCGGTTGTCATTCGATTTTTTTTTTGTGTTCTTATGAAATTTATTCAGTGTCTAAATTGGGCGCCAAATTCATGGATAATTCAATATTTATTCCTTTTGGTACCTACTAATAAATACGTGATCAGTGCAAAAAAAAAAATTGTCAAATATTTTTCAAAGTGTCACATACTTAGCTCAAAAAACAAATTTTCATAATATGTGCACAAATAAATATTCCTCATTTCAGAATTTTAAAACTTTTAACTTGGTAATATTATTTTTTTTTCGGTGGAAAACGTTCATTGGACCACCCTAAACATTTCCCAACTAGTAGGCATTTCTAATTAATTATGAGCAAATAAAAATAAAAAGGGAATGCTAACTTTTCAAAATTCTACCACAATCACTTTCATTGACCTAAACTTTCTTCACCATCGTGAAAGTACGTATACAAAATTTCTCCGCACAACCATAATTTTCGGGTCGTCTTGATTCCACTTTCTCCTAGCATTTTTTATTTATTATTATATCAGCTGCCCCACATCTGTTTTTTTTTTATTCAACTTAAGATTTTTTACAAACTTTTTTAAACTAAAATAATATTTGTTTCAGCGGTCAGATTTGGTCGGGTGCCCAAAAGAGAAAAGGCTCGCATTTTAGCAGCCATGCAACAAAGTTCAAATTCACGCACCCTGGAAAAAGCTGTAGCAGCCGAGCTCGATGACGAGCAGAGGCTTTTGGCTACAGTGGTGCGAGCTCACATCGACACGTGCGATTTCACTAGAGATAAAGTGGAACCCATGCTACAACGTGCCAGAGAGCAACCGTCCTATACAGCTTGCCCACCAACTTTGGTGAGTAAAATATTATTGAATTTTATGCATGTATGTAGGTGACAAGTGCCTTTATTTCCGGTGCGCAAAAGAAACCCATCAGACCGAAGTGTCGGAAATAGGGTTGAAATAACAAAGCCCACCACAAATAAGTTATAAGCAGACCGGTCGACCTTGTCTACAGGGTGACAGGCGGAAATATTCAAGGCCCGTGGCTCCTGCCGTCCCTGTCGCATGGCCTGGCCGCGCTCTAAGGTACAAGGTTACAGCGCACTTGAATGTCTCCTGATGACACTATTGATGACCTTTGTCGAAAAGTTTGATTCAAATCATTTTTTATCGATCCTATAATATCTTTTCTTGGCAGGATCGATTTTCCAATAACACAGTAAATTAGTATTGTTTTGGTTACTAACCCAAATGTCACGCCCACGCAAAAAAAAAAAAATATATGTTTATTGTTTCAGGCTTGTCCCCTAAATCCCAACCCTCAACCACTAACTGGCCAACAAGAATTGCTTCAGGACTTCTCCAAGAGATTTTCACCAGCCATTCGCGGAGTCGTCGAGTTTGCCAAGCGCATTCCAGGATTCTCCTTGTTGTCTCAGGATGACCAAGTTACTCTTCTCAAGGCGGGTGTTTTCGAAGTGTTACTTGTGCGACTCGCGTGTATGTTTGATAATCAAACCTCCAGTATGATCTGTTTAAATGGACAAGTGTTAAAAAGAGACTCAATACACAATAGCTCTAACGCCCGATTCCTTATGGACAGTATGTTCGATTTCGCCGATCGTATGAATTCTTTGAGATTGTCGGACGCGGAAATTGGATTATTCTGCTCTGTGGTGGTAATCGCAGCTGATCGTCCAGGCTTAAGAAATACCGAATTGATTGAAAAGATGCAAAACAAGCTAAAGCATTGCCTACAAGCTGTGGTTACTCAGAACCATCCAGGCCAGCACCATATTTTAGATGAATTGATGAAGAAGGTTCCAGATCTCAGAACTTTGAATACACTCCACTCTGAAAAGTTGTTGGCATTCAAAATGACAGAGCAACAACAAATGATGCAACAGCAACAGCATCACTTATGGGGCTCTCCTTCAGAGGAAGATTGTAATAACAGTAAAAGCCCAGCGGCATCTTCGTGGTCGTCATCATCTGACGTAACAATGGATGAAGCTAAGTCACCTTTGGGCTCTGTATCCAGTACAGAATCCATGTGCTCTTCAGAAATGATCTCAAACGACTACCACCATGCGACAACGCATCATCATGTTAGTGCAAATGCCGCTAGCGCTCCTCTTTTGGCCGCCACCCTAGCAGGTGGTCTTTGTCCTCATAGACATAGAGCTAATTCTGGATCCACGTCTTCTGGAGATGACGAACTCGCAGCCGCATCACACTTGATTCACAACGGGCTTACGATAACCCCAGTATCCAGGCCGCCAGTTACACATAGATTTAGAAAATTAGATTCACCTAGTGATTCAGGCATCGAATCTGGCACCGAAAAAATTGACAAACCAACTTCTGTATGCTCCAGTCCTAGATCGTCCATACATGATCATCATATTGTTGAAGATATGCCTGTATTAAAGCGGGTATTACAAGCGCCACCACTCTATGATACTAACTCTTTAATGGATGAAGCCTACAAACCACACAAAAAGTTTAGAGCCTTAAGAAACAAAGATTCCGCCGAGGCCGAGCCAGCTGTTATACTGTCTCCTCAACCAACACCAGTATCACATCTGCAAATGCAACTGTCAGCACCACCTCAATCGTCGCTGTCAAGTTCGCACTCCATGTTAGCCAAAAGCTTGATGGAAGGGCCTAGAATGACTGCCGAACAGATGAAAAACACCGAAGTGATACACAGTTACATTATGCGTGGTGAAGCGGTACCCCAAGCATCCCCCCACGTGACCGCCTCACCCACTGCGTGCCCATACAAAACCAATGGCTTATTACAACCAGCTTGGGCTACTAGCGTAATCACCAGTGCACGATCAGCTTCGGCTAGTCCAATGCACCTACAGTCGCCACACTCGACCTCTCCTGCGCCGTCAAGGTCACCACTTCCTCCTCGACTTATGGAACTACAGGTGGATGTAGCGGATTCGCAGCAACCCCTAAATCTATCTAAAAAATCGCCGTCGCCTTCACCGAGGCCGAAAGTGGTGACGCTCGAAGTGTAGGCTGTTTCTAGGGCCTGACTACACAGTACAAAGTGGAGTGCTTGTGTCCGCGGTAAGAGACTGTCAGCCTTGCCGTGCGGTCGTTTTGGTGCCACTTTAATCTAATATTTGAAACCAAAAAAAAATCGTATTTGCTGTATATTCATCTCTACTTCGCTGTCTATATCTTTCTATGTTGATGATATGTGTGACCATGTTTGTAGTTTAGCTGACTCATTATTGTAGGATTCTTCAAACTCAACATAGATACACGCACGTGCTTAAAACTGTGTAAAGCTCTCTTCGCCACTAGCGGCGGAGAAACAAATTTATTCCGCACAACAATACAGCGAAACACGTGCGTCGTGCGTGTATTAATGTTGAGTTGGGTGAACTCTAAGTATAACCTATTTACTTTTTTCTTCCCTTCTCCCGCCATTAGCGGACCTCCGTTGCCCTTTGTGTACATAGCGGACCAAAACGGATGTCTCGCTTCCTTTTTCCGTAGGTAATTAGGAATATTTCTCATCCAAACAATCACTAATTTAAACTATAGATAAATTATTAATTAATTATTATTGTGTACATGTAAAATTATGACTAATTTTGGCATCGGCACCCAATCAATCCTATATTATTATAGATTTATTATATTATTTTGTTAATATATATGTGATAAATTGATTTGTAGGATTATACATAATATTTATGACTAAGTTTGTGTTAAAATATTCGCGTATCTCAGTTTGTATAAAGTCATAAGAAAATAATTTTTCGTTCACCACCCATCATCCTTTCATTGTCAATCATCATTTATTAAATTGTATCGCCACTCTTTTCATTTAGATTAGGTGCGAGTTGATTAGGAGACATGAGACTGAGAGGGGATGCCCCCATGTTACGTACTAGGCCCCCCCATCAGGAGGGACAACTCACCGTTTGGGGCGCCCCTCATTGTTAGTCCCCTGCTCGCGAATTTAGGACGTGAATAGTTCTGCCCTCAATTCTATTTATTATTATTATTATTAATATTGTATTGTAGCAAAGAGATTCATACATACATACACACAGACCTACATACATGCATGTCAGACATGTTAATTAATATTTAATAAATACTGTTAAGTAAGTGAAACTTCATTAAATGTAACTTCTTTGGGGTATTCGACTAGTCTTGCTTCAAAAGTCGTCTCAGCACCCGGAGGTTTCTCTATCTCTGTCTTTATCAGTGTGAAACTTTTGTAAATTTGAAGCTTGTTGAGGCAGACAGAATAAAACATGTCTTGGTGATATAATTATTGAAGTTTTATTATTATTTCTATCCTTTACCCCTATGTCCTGCTGGTTAATAGAAAAAAAATTATAGGAAAAAAAAAACACTTAGGCAATATATAAAAGTCTACGACTTAAAAGAGCTGAGCTGAGAACACTGGTATAACAAAAATCTCAACTAACAGCTGAGAGTTTTCTATTTTATCAATTTGAAATAGAAGTTGTGGTTTCTTTCAATTAAAAATTGATTTGTTGTATTTTTTACTTGAACGGACTTGTCATAAGAAATTGCAGAAACAAAAAGTAATTAATTTTTAAAAAATAATCAGCATACTGCGGCTATACCGGGTGTCGCAGGAAAGTGGCTCGTCACCCATACCTAACTTTTTTCTTTTTTCACGAAAACAAAGAAAATTCGATGCATGGCTCATCCGCCATGTTTTAACTTATTTCAATTATCATGTGGATGCCAAATCGATACAAATCTGCTTTTCAGTGATTTTTTCTCGATTGAAGCTGATCTCCAATTTCTAAATATTTTTTCTAAAATGAAAGATCAGTAACGTCATTTAGATAACTGAACCTTTTTTCTAGAAATTTGAAAAGACCTTTTTTATCAATAAGGGCCAAATTATGGACCAACTAGGTAGTAAGTATCTGGTTGTTACCTAGCAGGTACCTTCTATTCTCTAGTGCATAGAAAGTACCTGCTAGGTAACAACCAGATGTTTACCAGTCAGTCCATAATTTGGCCCTAAAGGGAACAAATTATATTTCCAATATTATTATGCTTACCCATTTTTTTTCTAAAATAAGTTTCTGTTTGGAATAGATCAGTTCTACAAAAATCTCTAAATTTGATTCACATATTTCTCTGGAACAAAAAATGTGGTTTAAAAAAAATGGAACAATATTACCGATGTGGTTACATAAATCAAAAAAGCTGTTGAACCATTTATGCTAATAACATATTTTTGAAGTAGGTCATACAGCTGCATTTTAAAAAAGGAAGTATCAGTAATCAACTAAAGAAATGCAAATGCGACACTGAACCATTCTTCAATTGTTATCCAAATTTTTTTTTGGTATGCTTAATTTACATAATTTTTGTATCAGAGATTGATATTGATCTTGCTAATATTGAAGGGTTAATTCATTATGGCTGATAATGATAATAATAAGTTAATTTTTCAACTAATCTAATATATAAGACATATTTTCAAATACTTTCTCTGCACATATCTTGATTCGAAAATCAGAATTTAAATTCAATTTACAGATTGATAAAAATCGAAATTTTCTTTGCTCATCATAATTATTATAAAATCACCGATTATTATCGAAAAGAACTGCAAACCCACTTATAGAGGCGCCGGCTCTATCTGTGTGAAATTACCTTATTTTATTTTCTATTATCAGGTCCCAGGGCTTTTCTCCTGCTCTTCCACAATTTAGATAGGTAAATAAAGTTCCCATAAAAAACTGAGGGTCCGCAGATGAAATTGAAGTTTTTACGGTTATTTGAAAGGGATCGATTAAGCGACTGGGTTTAAGCTTGAAAGGCCTCTACCCTCTACTTCACTGTTTGATCAAGAGGTCGATTATAAGTTGATAGGTTTTTTTTAGAGGTTCAGGAGGGAGGAAGAAGAAAAGTTAAATTAATAAATACGATATCTTACATGAACATCTTGTTGGTTCAAACCGTGGTTAATCCCCAGCATACGCTGTAAACTTTGCCAAAAAGCTGATATATTCAATTTTGAATTATTATTTATTGCAGCTACTTTTTCAATAAAATAACGAATCATCTAAAAATACTTCTTCAGATTACAATGACATGGAAAATTAGAAAAATTATGTGAGCCTATAACAGATAACCACAATAACAATTAAATTACTAAATAACTCTAGAAGTCAGGTAAAGAAAGCAATAAAATGTCATAGTGTCCCCTTTAAAATAAATAAATAAATAAACAATATCAATATACTTGAGCAATGCCTGGTTAAGTTCATGATCAGAAGCTATTATTCCCAGAACTTGTCATACCATCTTCATTGCGTATTTAACTTCAATTCATCGACAAAACGAGGAAGTGGATTCGAATCGCGAGTGAATCAGCGTGGCGCGGTGTCAAGTGACGGTCAAGTGGATTTGTCGGTTAGATTTAATTAATTTAAGATCTTCTTAACGGCCACGAAGGCTATTTGCTGCTGGTGTGTGATAATGGCGTCATTTCTATTCCATTCTCTCAGCGATTAAATTGGGATTTCATACGCTCATCATATGAAATCCCAAGGTTCCAAAAGGAAACTGGATTTTTAATCTTTTATTCGAACTAGACATATTAAATTTTTTGTGTACAAACCTATATTTATATTTGAACCAATACAAGTACTAAGTCCCAAAAATTATGAAAACCTTTAATTTGATCCACCTCGCAAATGGTGGACCCATTATTTTTGTTTCCATTTCTCTCAATAAACTTATTTTCTTCTGTTATTTGGGTTAGTAAAAAAATTGTCTAAATCAAAATTTGAAAATTGCACACACAAAAAAAAAAAGAGAAATAGGTTCTAGTATATGTGTTTCGAGATCAAGGCGAGGCGAAACTGCTCTCTTATTGTATGCAAATGAAGGTAAGATTGGAAAAGGTGATACACTGGTCCAGCCGCGAAAGTGAAAAGTCGTTATTGCGGCTCGTGCACACACATACACTTTTTTTCATTAGCGAGAGAAATTGCTCTCTCTGCTGAGATAGCCAATGGCGGCAACCAGATTGAATAAATTTAAGTAAGTAAATTGAAATAGAAATTCGCTTAATCCTAATGGATTGATTATTGGCAAACTGATGATGATGGTGCTCCTTCATTTTATTAACCGATCAAAATTGAGTAGGATAGTCTGTAGCTTAGTCTGTACTATGCCTCGAATGATTTTGAAAGAGTCAAAAAGTTTTCAATGGTTGACATATTTTGACTGATCCGAGTCGCTGGAGGAAAGCCTTCCAAAATTTTTCAAGAGAAAGAGGATTCGACTAACATCTCATTCAATGGGTTCCACAATTTGAAAAAAGAAATACAAAACGCGTTTGCTTCGTTAACAATTTGATAGTAATGTTTTGTGGGGCAAATAACATCACTTTGGATCGAATCGAAAAGAGTACGTGGACATCAATTTGGGCAAAAAAACTTACTATTTCCAGAATTGTTAGGAAGTAGGTATCAAATGAATGGCGATGTAAGCAATAGTCAAAATTAAAATTTTTCAAGAAAAAGTGTTTGGGAATTAGTCTAAAAATTCAGTAATAATGTCGTGTTGACATTTGCAGGTTTGGGTTAGATTAAATTTCAGATTTTGTGAACGGTCGATCGCAATTTTAATATCTAGGGATCAAAATTTAATTTGGTAGTGGAAAAATATTGTTTTTTTTATACCCGCCTGTAATACTCTATTCCAACGATATCGATAATTGAACTTCAATATGCGGATGATAACGTCGTGGCGATGTCCAATACAGAGGAAGATCTTCAGGCAATTTTCAATGAATTCAATCAGGCATACAGGGGAGTCGGCCTAGAGGTCAACAACAACAAGACGCAGATTCTGTATCAACCCGCACCGGATACTAATCCCTCCTAAGCCCCAAATATAACTATAAATGACCATTCTTTGCAGAACGTAGAACACTATCCATACCTTGGGAGCCATCTGTCAGCGAATGCAACCATTGCAGCTGAAATCCAAGAATGCTTGAAGTGTGCTAGCGCGGTGTTCGGGCAACTTCTAGAGAGAATCTTCAACAATCACGACATCAGCGCTGAGACCAAACTTCGTGTCTACAATGCAGTTGTAATGCCAAAACTTACATATGGCTGCGAAACATATGGTCACCTACAGAAGACACATAAAAAGCCTAGAAACATACCACCAGCGCTGTCTGAGAAAAATCCTTTGGATTAAATGGTAGGACCGACGAACGAACATTATTGTTTTAAAGGATGCAGAAACAACTAGCATGGAAACCCTCATCATTAAGCACCAACTTCGCTGGACAGGTCACCTCGTCTGCATGCCCGAAACACGTCTTCCACGATAGATTCTCTACAGTCAACTGGAAGAGAGAAATCGAAATCAGGGAGTTCATCAAAAACGCTACAAGGAAGTTCTCAGGTAGAATATGGTAGAGTGCCGCTTCGATACCAGCAACTGGGAGACCACGGCAAATGATAGAGCCTTTATGGCGTCGAGTAGTCCACGACGCACCATAAAGGGCACGAGACCGAAAAGAGGGGCTGCAGAAAGCAGCGAGAGAACAGAGGAAGATACAATGCCAGAGGCTGGGTGTGCCAAGACTGAGGAAGTGTGTGCGGCTCCAGAATTGTTTTATATAGCCATGAGAAAACACACAATTCACGACAATAAGAATAGAATAGAAGTTAATCATACTCGGTTATCGGTATCGAGTGATCGCCTATGATGATGATGTTTCTAACAAGATCCCTATAAGGTCTGTAATTTTTAACTCCCGGAAATGTTCAGCTAAAATCCTGCCATCTCATTCCAAACTAAAATGTAGCATTGATAATTATTTGCCTTTGATAGATTGAATAAGGACATGATTTGGATACACTTAGAGAAAAAAAAATTCTTGAACCCCATGACATAATAATTTGTGCAAAATTCCAAAAACAAAATTGTCGTAGCTCTAATTCAATCGTCCAATTACCGAAGCACGTTTTTTAAATTAAATAATATTTATTTTTTTTTGCGTAAGAGTAAAAGGCACTTATTCCACCTAATGAGCTCGATAACAAGCTAGACGATTGCAAATTGCAAATTCCACTGTAAACGACGTCGGTAGTTTCCTTTCCTTATCACCATAGAAACAATAAAATTAGTAGTTAGCTAATTTCCTATAAATATGATTGAATAGATTCCGTTTTCCGTGTTCAAACTATTAGAATTTTATTATACATTTTATTCAGGCAGTAGTTAAATTATTTTGTTTTCGTAGAACAGAAATGATTCAT